CTTGCAGCTGCACCACATGCCACTTCCTGCCCTGAGCCCCCGCACTCTCCCATCCAGGTTCTCAGCCCCCCTTTTCCCCAGTTACTTTTTGTTTAAAAAAAAAAAACAAAGTTTTTGTTGTTTAACTTACAACTGCTGTTTTTATTGATTGTAAAGGGAAGGGGGGCAGGGAGGCGTTGTGGTGGGCAAGGCACAGGCTCCCACTGGCTGCACCACATGCCACTTCCTGCCCTGAGCCCCCGCACTCTCCCATCCAGGTTCTCAGCCCCCCTTTTCCCCAGTTACTTTTTGTTTAAAAAAAAAAAACAAAGTTTTTGTTGTTTAACTTACAACTGCTGTTTTTATTGATTGTAAAGGGAAGGGGGGCAGGGAGGCGTTGTGGTGGGCAAGGCACAGGCTCCCACTGGGGAAGGCCCTGGGGGGGTTACTGGGGGCCTTCAGAAAAACTCTCCCTCTCAAAGCCCCTTCACTCCCAGCTGGCCTCTGTCCCCCACCCCAGGAGGAAGACCTCCCCTTGGCCCTCCGCTATGTTGTGGAGAACACAACACGCCGTGACCACCTGAGGGATGTTGCGCTCCCCCACGTCGAGGCGAGTCAGGAGGCACCTGAATTGCACCTTGAGGCACCTGAAGGTGCATTTGACCTGCATGTGCGCCCGGTTGAGGTGCACGTTGAATTGTTCCCCGATGGGGTCCAGGTGGACAGCGTAGGGCTTCATGAGCCACGGTATTAGTGGGTAGGCCATGTCCTTGACGATGCACAGTGTCATTTGTACATCCCCCTCGTGAAAGTCCCTCTGGGAGAAGAATATGCCAGTCTCCAGCTTGTGGTAGAGGCTAGAGTTCCTGAATATGCGGGCATTGTGTCCCCGGCCCATCCACCCAACAAAAATATCCAGAAACTGTCCACAGTGGTCGACCAGGGCCTGCAGCACTGTAGAGAAATAGCCCTTCCTGTTAATGTTCTGGGTGGCATGATGCTGTGGTGCGCAGATAGGAATGTGGGTCCCATCGATCACTGCTCCACAGTTAGGGAAGCCCAGGAAATGCAAATCCGGCCACAATTGAGTCCAGGACTCTGAGGCGGATGACCCTGTGCTTCAGGACAGAGTTGATGGCCCTCATGGAGTTGATGCCTGAGCCCTTGAGAGGTACCCATCCCCTTCCCCTCAAACACTCCAGGACTCACCCCAGGAGCACAACCCCCCTGGGAATGGGGCTTCCCCCCATTCCACCCCTCACACCCCTTTCCCTAGGGTCCCCCTTTTCCAGGACTCCTCCTGCCCCCCGCAGGGACTGCAGCCCAAGAATGCCTTACCTCCATGAGGAGGACCCCGATGGTGGACTTCCCCGTGCCAATCTGGTGGCCCACCGACTGGTAGCTTTCGGGGGTGGTGAGTTTCCAGACGGCAATAGTGACCCTCTTCTCCAGGGGCATGGTGAGCTGCAGCTGGGTGTTGCGTCTCCGGAGGGCAGGGGTGAGCCAGGCACACAGCTCAAAGAAAGTGGCCTTCCACATGTGGAAGTTGTTGAGCCACTGCTGGTCATCCCACCCCTTCTGGGGAGTGTGGGATATCCCTGTTTTCCCCTATCTTGCCCTGGAAGGGACATTTCAATAGTCCTAGAGAAAACAGGATGGCATCTCCAACCCTGTGGGCAGAACTACCTAGTGGTTGTGTCTGAGACTGCTCCATGGAGCAGTACTCTCTCTGGCATTGTGAGACTAAGTGCCCGTCTCTTCAGTGCTCTTTTCTCTGCTTTCTCCCTCTTACGCCCATATTTCTGAGAGGAGGCAGAGAGTGGTGAGAGGCCTTGCTCCCTGGGCTGGAAAACTTTAATCTGGTTATGGCTTTCCTGCCTTCAGCAGATCTCACCAGCTGGCTGACCCTGTCTAGCATCGGTCCCTGCCCGATAGATCTGTCAGCCTGGGGAAGAGCCTCTCACTAGCTTTGGGACCCTCTTCCTCCCCTCCCAACAAGTCTCTGCTCCCCATTTCCTTTCACTCAGTGTCTTCCTTTGTGCTTGGCCCAGTTGCTTGGCATAGCAAACGATCCAAAGGGTTTGTGTTTACAAAGGACTTCAGAGCTCATGGGGGGGGAGGGCTGCCAGCACCCAGTAGTGAATGGCCCTGGGGTGTGGTCACTGCCAGCGCAAGATGGGAGGAATGGCTCCCCAGGTACCAGTGGGGCTTGCTGGCTGTCACTGGCAAGGCTGCAGTGAGAATTGTGATGTGCTAGTTGGCTCTGCCTGTCACTAGGGTGATCCCCTCTTTCTGGACTGGAATCTCCCTGTGATTGAAGTGGCATCTTGGATACTGTACTTTCCAGCCACTGTGTGCATCTAATAAAACTTTTTTTATTAAAATTTCCTTGTTGGTCTGTTAATCCAACCTTGCCCATGAGAATCACCACATGCCACTG